GGGGCTGCCCAAAGCCCGAGCGCTACCGGCTTCGTGGTTTGCCGGGCAGCCTCCAGACCCTGCGCCCCCGGCTGGGCGCTTCCCCTCCCGGGCTCCAGCTGCGCTGGGGAAGCGCTGGCCAGGGGCGCAGGGTCTGGAGGCTGTCTGGCAAACCGTGAAGCCGGTAGTGCTCGGGCAGCCCTTTTCGCGTGGCTGGGAGGGAGGAGGGGGAGTTAGGGCGGGGATTTTGGGGAAGGGGCGGAGTTGGGGCGGGGGTGGGAAAGGGGCGGGGCCAGGGCCGTGGATTGTCCTCTTTTTTTATTTTTTAAATATGGTAACCCTACTAGAAACTTACTGTTGTTTTAAAAGGAAGCTGAGATTCTCCCATAAGCACCTGACTCTGGCAGCTGGGGATTTAAGACAATCACCAAATATGGCAAGCTTCACAATAGAATTGTGAGCATTGGCAACAATAACTTGTCTGTGCTGGAGAAGAAAGGCGATCTGCTATAACTTGGAAGTGATATGTACTAGAAATCACATTGCGGACACTCTCCTTCAGCACTGCCAACCCCCATGTATTCTAAATCACAAGTCAGGGCCTCAGAATCATGAGATTTATTAAAATAATACATGTTCAGGGTTTTTTTGTTTGCCTTCTGGGTTTGTGCCTTTAAAGGGTCACATTCTCAAGGTATTCTCCACAATTGAAGGCTGGAAACTTAATTTTTAAATGAAAGCTGAGATTCCCATTTAATCACAGAACTCCAGGAGCTGGAAATTAAGAAACATACTACATATCATGAGTCTCACAATAAAACCGTGAGAATTGGCAACCGTGATTTTAACTCCTTTGAAGTTGAGATTTTTGGAGAGACAAGGTATACTCTTCTCCCATATCATGGCAGTATTTGCCATGCATTATTTAAGCACCATGCAGGTAAACAGCTTGATATTTCTAGGAAGTATGACATTAAGGGAGTAAAATAAGTGTTGAAATATCCCTAGGCCCCAATCGTGTAACACCTGCATCACTTTACTCACATGAGTAGCTCTTCTGAGATCAATGGGGCTACGCATGGGAGTAAAGCAAAGGGGCCATTCACATGGGTTGCAGGATCAGGACCTTAGCTAGTAGATTCCATTGTTTTCAGCATTTGTGGTCTTTAAAATATCACTTGGGCAGTCCCAACTTAAAATCAAGCAGGTGTGACTGGGTTGCAGCATAGAGTAAATCAAAATAAAATCATTATGAAAAACAGAGGCTTTTGTCAATTAATGTCTTGTTATTGATTTTATTAAATTTATAAACTTGATTATCTGTGAAGCATGGACACTGACAGTCTTTATAACAAGCAACAACATCTGGCACATATACACCTCTACCCCTATATAACGCTGTCTTCAGGAGCCAAAAAATCTTACCGCGTTATAGGTGAAACTGCATTATATCGAACTTGCTTTGATCCGCCGGAGTGCGCAGCCCCGCCTCCCCGGAGCACTGCTTTACCGCGTTATATCCAAATTCGTGTTATATCAGGTCGCGTTATATCGCAGTAGAGGTGTACTTCTATAGATGTAGTTGCATAATGGCTACACATTTGGAAATGGATGGGAGACGTGGATTTTTGTAAGTCACCGTGTTGATATTTTTGCATTTACATTATCATGATGATTTATCCTTTCTAATAGGAGGTGCCTTGTGGTCCCAATCAGGATAGAGGTCTCATTGTGCTAGGAGCTGTATCAGTGCACAGGTAGACAGTTCCTGCCCCAAACAACTGACTTGCCTGTCACATTCATTTGTGTCTTTGTCAAGAGGAGGGAAGGACAAGGAGGATAACAAAACTAAGATCATGTAGTTACATAGGTCACTACTGTGCAGCCTGATGGCCCCATATACTAGAGGAGCATTAGAAGAATATGAAATAAATATAGCTTTCCCCACTTGCCTTATTACTAGAGCTGGACAGAAGATGGGGGAAAGGGTGTTCATGGAAAATTTTGACAGAAGTTAAAAAAAAAATAGTTTTTGTTGAAATTCTCCACAGAAATCTTCAACTTCTCATTGAAACTGAAAAATGTGGGGCTTTGGTTTCTTGATGAAAGGTCAAAATTTTCCATGGAAAAGACAATTTTTGCAGGGGAAAAAAGGTTGCCCCATTTTCTGTCAAAAACCAGTTTTGATGGAAAATATCCTACTAGCCCTACCTATTGCCTGTAAACGTAACAGCCAGTCTGGGGTTTGAAGAAAGAGGGCAGTAGCCTCATGGGTTAATTCCGGGAGGACATCCCATGCATAGTACACAGCATGGATGGAAGTATGGAGCAGCTTGCCACACATACTGACATCTGGGCCTTCAAGGCTGGCCCCATTGCACTGACTCCCTCACTTCACCAATCAGAGACTTGCAGATCCCTGGTGAGTCTAAGGTGATGGTGAGGTGGTAACTGGTGCTGAGTAGCACAGACAAGCAATGAGCCAGGGAAACAACCCTAGCAGCAGTATCTTGAATGGACTGGAAGGTGAAGGGGGTTGGGGTACACATCTGGGTGTGAAAGAGATGGATTTAGCTCTATGAACAGAAAGAAAAGGACAGGCCCTGCTTCCAGGACTCTGAGGTATTATGGATGGGGCTGTGCCTTGTCAGGAGAGGAAGCTGGCCTGCTGGTTGGAACTAGGGCAGCCAGGCCTAGTGACCAGAGCCCAATTCAAGAGTCAAGTTACCAAGTCCAGGGAATGAGTCAGAGCATCAGCTGGACCAGGACCAAGGCCATAGCCACAGGGATGAAATGCTACTGAGCAACCAGG